TCCTCATCGCCCTCCGGGATTGGCTCCAAGCTCATCATTTCCTGGATTACTTACGTCAAGCAAACAGGAAAAAGGCTACACGCTCAGCATTGAAGCTAAGTGAGATATATCTAACATACAGCTATACCCATAGGCGATCCCACTAGCCCATATCACCATACGATATCATGCACACAACATGCTCATCACATTTAGACATCATATAGAATATAACAGTTGTAATAAACATCAACATTAAAGAATAACAGGTCACAAGGATACAATGATAACCTCTCAATTTTCCTCTGCCCTATGCTCTTTTCGGTACTCAGCTCTTGACCTAGACTAGGTAAAAGCTCAACTGAATACGACTTGCCTATGGAGTCATGACCTTCCCCTTCGGAACGAAGGTCAAGCTCAACCAACTCGGGAGTTCCTCGTTGGGTGGGTGAGATCCCTGTCCTCTTCGGAACGACAGTTCTTAGATCCCCGTGTACACGTTTTTACCCGGACAGCCATTGGACCCAGCAGGTACCACATGGCTCTAACCACTATACTTAAGACAAATCTCGCCATTATTTCTCTTCAGGTCAAATCCTAGGTTGTTCTAGGTATATCATGCCTAAATCGTCATTAGTTACAATCATACATGTTCATACATCTTACACATGTTTCATCACATCTAATTCACTCAATTAGCAGCCTCGTTTACCATCATGCAACACACAAGGTCTCGGAATCAATCCTCGACGCAAACAACAAAAATGCAGCCCGGTTCAGGTACCTCACGGTACCCCTTGGCGGTAGGGGTTACCGACCCCACGGCACCAGGGTACCGTCCCCACGATACGGGGGTACCGTCCGTGTCAGTTGGGATTCCTCCGGTAGCCCGTCACGGTAGATCCCCGACGGTAGGGTCTACCGTCACACGGCACCCGGGTACCGTCCCAGGTAGGTGCCGCCAGAAACGAAACGAAACCGGGGAGGCTGGCGGTAGCCAGGTACCGTGTCAACGGTACCTCCCTACCGTCTGTCGCGACGAACACCAGACCTGCACCAGTTCCGTTTTCGTCCCTTTAGCAGCAACCACGCCATTGATAACAAGCATAACAGTTCATAAAACGTTAACCTAGCATTCCATAACTTATCCTCAATCATTCTAACACAACCCATGTCTTTCGAACCATAAACCACAACACAAAACCTAATTCACATATAATCCACATAAATCAACCGTAATGATTCCATGAACGTAAGATTCAAACCTACGAATATAATCCATACGTTAGATGACCACGTTCTCACCTTGAATTTGATGATTAAACTACGATATGGTACTCACGAACGACGGCGTCAGACTCTTCTTCTTTCCTCTCTTCTTCTCTTCTTCTCCTTCGTGCGTCGCTGCTGCCTTGATCGAGAGAAACGAGAGACGTGAGAGAGTGGGGAGGAGGTTACGTGAATGTGGTGTGAGGCGTAGGGGTTTGGGGCGTGTAAGGGGTGTATTTATACTTTTGGGGTTTTGGGCTCCGTTTTAACTAAACGTACCTGGCCCAAACGCACTTTCCGGCCCCACTAAGTCCAAATTCGAATCCGATTTCACTGGCAGATTCGATCCGTCGAACCCTACATAACGGTATAATTTTAAATATTAAACGAAAGGTATATTTAATTCCCACCGGGTCCATCTCAGTTATTAATTAATTATTTCCAATTAATTAATTTTGATAGGCCGGGTTTCGGGGCGTTACATTTCTCTCCCCCTTAAAAGAATTTCGTCCTCGAAATTACCTGAGTCAATGGTCACTAAAGAGTTGAGGATACTGAGTTCTCATGGACTCCTCGGTCTCCCAGGTTGCTTCTTCCACTGCGTGGTTCCGCCAAAGCACCTTGACCAAGGGAACTGTCTTGTTCCTTTACTTCGCGTGCCAAGATCTGTACGGGTTCTTCTTCATAGGTATGACTCTCATCGAGGGTGACTGCTCCCTCAGGTAGGATGTGTGACGGATCAGATCGATATCTCCTCAGCATAGACACATGAAACACATCGTGGATTTTCTGTAGTTCTGGGGGTAACTCCAAACGATAAGCCACTGGTCCTACGCGTTCAATGATCCGGTACGGTCCAATGAACCTAGGACTCAGCTTTCCTTTCTTGCCAAATCTCAACACTTTCTTCCACGGAGATACCTTGAGAAACACCCAATCATCCACGTTGTACTCAATCTCCTTACGCTTGAGATCGGCGTAGGACTTCTTGCGATCCGAGGCAGCTCGTAATCTATCCCGTATAATGCAGACCTTCTCTTCTACCTCACGAATCAGGTCAGGTCCCTCCAGCTTGGTTTCACTCAATTCGGTCCAACAGACTAGAGTCCTATAACGTTGGCCATACAGTGCCTCGTACGGGGCCATCTGTATACTAGCCTGGTAACTGTTGTTGTAGGCAAACTCCATCAACGGCACGTACTGTTCCCAACCGTCACCGAAATCGATGACACAGGCTCTCATCATGTCTTCCAAAATCTGAATCGTTCTCTCCGACTGGCCATCTGTCTGGGGAAGGAATGCTGTGCTGAAGTTGAGCTTAGTGCCCAAGGCCTTCTGAAGGCTCTTCCAAAACTGTGATGTGAAACGCGGGTCTCGATCCGAGATGATAAACACTGGCACTCCGTGAAGTCTCACAATTCATGAATATATAGCTCAGCTAGCTTCTGCAAGGTAAAGTCTCGTCTAATCGGGAGGAAGTGAGCTGATTTAGTCAGTCGATCCACTATGACCCATACTGCATCATTCTTCTTATTTGTCAGGGGTAACCCTATCACAAAGTCCATCATGATCTTCTCCCACTTCCACTCCGGAATAGCTGGCGGGTGTAGCAGCCCATTTGGCACCTGATGCTCCGCCTTGACCTGCTGACAGGTCAGGCACTTAGCCGTAAACTCCGAAATCTCTCGCTTCATCGTCGACCACTAATAAGTCCTCTTGAGTTCTTGGTACATCTTGTTGCTGCCAGGGTGCATGGTGTACACGGTTTCGTGAGCTTCCCGTAGCAGCCGTTCTCTCACTTCACCGTTCGGTACCACCAAGCGATCCTTAAAGAGTAGCCTTCCATCGTCATCAATGGTTAAGTCTTGTCTCTCCCCCTTGGAGACAAGCTCCTGAGTCTTCACACAAAAGTCATCCGTAGTCTGGGCTGTTCGGATCTCACTTTCCAATGTCGGCTGAAGTCGTAACTCAACCATAGTCTTCCGACTCAAGGCATCAGCCACGACGTTGGCCTTGCCCGGGTGGTAGTCGATATAGCTGTCGTAATCCTTGATCAACTCCAACCACCTCCGTTGCCTCAAATTCAGTTCTTTCTGGGTTAGCAGGTACTTCAAACTCTTGTGATCCGTGTGGATGTAAGTAGTCTCACCAAATAGATAGTGTCGCCAAATCTTCAATGCGAACACCACTGCTGCCAACTCCAAATCATGCGTAGGATAGTTACTCTCGTGAGGTTTCAACTGTCGAGAGGCGTAGGCCACAGCCTTACCCTCCTGCATAAGAACACAACCAAGTCCACTATGCGATGCGTCACTGAAAACTGTGTACTCCTTGCCAGGCACTGGTTACACCAGCACCGGTGCCTCCGTCAGGTACTTCTTGAGTCTCTCAAAACTCTGTTGACACGCGTCTATCCACGCAAATTTCACCTCCTTCTTCAGTAACCTGTTGAGCGGTGACGTTATGGATGAGAAGCCCTCCACAAAGCGCCGGTAGTAACCAGCCAAGCCGAGGAAGCTCCTCACCTCTCACGCATTCCTCGGAGTCTTCCACTCCGTCACTGCTGATATTTTGCTAGGGTCCACCTTGATGCCCTCGTGGGAGATCACATGCCCAAGGAACATGACCTCATCGAGCCAAAACTCACACTTTGACAGCTTGGCGTACAGCTTGTGTTCCCTTAGCACACCAAGTACTGTCTGCAAGTGTTTCGCATTCTCTTCTGGTGTCCTAGAATACACCAAGATGTCGTCGATGAACACTACTACGAACTGGTCTAGGTAAGGACGGAAGACGCTGTTCATCAGATCCATGAAGATCGCCGGGGCATTCGTCAGCCTGAACGGCATCACCGTGAACTCATAATGCCCGGAGCGCGTTCGAAATGCCGTCTTCGGTATGTCTTCCTTCTTCACGGGGATCTGATGATACCCCGACCGAAGGTCTATCTTCGAGAACATTGTAGCTCCTCTGAGCTGATCAAACAAATCGTCAATCTGCGGTAATGGGTAGCGGTTTTTTACTGTAGCCTTGTTCAACTGTCTGTAGTCAATACAGAACCTCATGGACCCATCTTTCTTCTTGACAAAGAGAACTGGCGCTCCCCATGGGGACACGCTCGGCCTGATGAATCCCTTGTCCAGTAGTTCTTGCAACTGAGCTTTCAGCTCCTTCATCTCCGCTGGTGCCATGCGGTATGGCGTAGCAGAGATTGGTTCCGTTCCAGGGACCAGATCAATCGAAAACTCTACTTCCCTTGGCGGTGGCAGGCCAGGGAGATCGTCGGGAAACACATCGGGAAAGTCACACACTGTAGGGATATCCGTCTGTTCGGGGGTCTCCTTCCTGGTGTCCCGAACGTGGCACAAGAATGCCTCGCATTTCTTCCGAATCAACCGCTTCGCTTAGATGTAAGACACAAATTCTGGAGGCTTAGGGAACAACTCCCCCTTGACTTCTACCACATCACCATCGTCAGTCTTCAGCCGTACGGTGTGCTAACCACAATCAATTATCGCTTGACGCTCAGTCAACCAATCCATACCAAGGATAATATCGAACTCCTTGTATGGCAACTCGATCATATTTGCGGACAACCGGTGTCCATGGACCGTCAACGGACAGTTGCGGTACAGATGATGAAGTCGCATGCTATGCCCTAGCGGGTTAGATACTACCATGGGGTATTCCATATCACCTCCTTGGATATCAGATTTCTCAGGCATAGGAACACATATGTAAGACAACGTAGATCCTGGGTCAATTAATGCAAGCATATGAGTGTCGAATAGTGAAAACATAGCCAAGATGACGCCGCGGTTCACCTCGGTACGTCCCTGCATGGCGTAAGTGCGTGCAGGCGCATGTCCCTACTCGCGGTTCTGGTTCTGGTCTGTCCTCTCGGCGGGTTTGAGCACGCGGTAGACCTCTGGCTCTGCGCTGGCCTCTGACTCGCTGTCGGTGTCTGCGCCTCGGTTACGGGGAAAGCACGCCCGGGGTTAGTTGGACAATCCTTACGGAAGTGTCCCTCCTTTCCGCATCCCATGCATAAGCCCTGCACGAACCAGCATTCACGAGGGTGGTTTTTCCCACATTGATTGCACACTGGATACCTGGAAGGTTTACTTCGATTGCTCGCTCCCTGTGACTGAGCCGGTGCAGACTTTGTCTTCTTGAAGTTCTGGGTACCCTTAGTACCGCCAAAGGATCTCTTCCCGCTCGGTGCCGCACTGGTAGTGGGTCGTTGGCAAGTAACTGTCCCTCCAGCACCCAAGCTTGCTTTCAGGTCATCCACCGCTTTCTCCGCCTTAGCCATCAGGTCATAAGCCGCTGAGAAGTCGGTGGTGACCACGGTAGAAACATAAGGTCGCACATCAGGGCGCAATCTCTTCCTGAACTCTTCAATTCTGTCAGCAGGTGTTGACACCAACGTGGGTGCAAACTGAGCCAAATGATCAAACTTCTGTCGTAGCTCGGCAAGGGTCATGTCCCCCTGTACCAGCTCCATGAACTCTGACCGCTTCTCCTCTCGGAAGCGAGCAGGGATATATTCCTTCTTGAAAGCCCAGTCGAAATATGCCCATGTCCAGGGCTTCGGCGTCTGCGGCTCGCTGTCAATGCGCTTCCACCACTCGTACGCTCCCTTGCGGAGTAGCTGAGATGCCAACTTTGGATGATCCACAACCGGTACATCCAGGTCGTTGAGCACCCTAGCCACCTGCTCAATCCAATCAAGAGCCACTTGAGGTTCAGCCACTCTATCTCCCAGGAACTCCTCCGCTCCGTTGTCCTTCAGCGTTTTGAAGGTGATGTGTCGCCGCGGTGGATGAGGCTGTTGAAACATCGGCGCGTTGGCCATCTGCTCTAGGAACTGCGTCATGAAGGCGGGCATGACATTCTTAGGCGGATTCCCGAAATTCTGGTTTTCCCCCGCGTTCAGTGGCACATTGGGCTGCCCAGCATTTTGCTGAGGCACGAAGCTGGATGCCTCCGTCTCGACATCGTTGTGATCTTCACCCACTTGCTGGGTGTTGTCATGAGCGTGCGTCGACGCGTTACTCATTCTAAATCTACACATAAATGCCTAGTCAGTTATTAACACATAACAATCAAGGATATAAACTTATTACCTTCCCGGGGTTGATGAGTTGCAAGAGATGTGGTGCAGCTTTTGGAAGCCATTTATTTATGATCCGAAGATCGGTTTTAAAACCATATGCTTTGATACCAAAATGTAACACCCCAACCCGCGTGACCCGAATACAAGGACCAGTGGATCGGGTTGCTACTAAATTGGTAGTCATACACATTAATTTTCTAAAACAACTTAAAACATTTAATTCAAACAGTATTTAATTATCCATCAGAGTAAATCCCAACACTTGCGGAAGCTAAATTCATAATCCAAAACACAACTTGGGAATCATGCCCGAAATAGTAATAAGTTAATTCAAAAAATAAATAAGAGTTCAAAATCGTCGAACACTGCCACGCACATCTCAGCTTCCTCATCGCCCTCCGGGATTGGCTCCAAGCTCATCATTTCCTGGATTACTTACGTCAAGCAAACAGGAAAAAGGCTACACGCTCAGCATTGAAGCTAAGTGAGATATATCTAACATACAGCTATACCCATAGGCGATCCCACTAGCCCATATCACCATACGATATCATGCACACAACATGCTCATCACATTTAGACATCATATAGAATATAACAGTTGTAATAAACATCAACATTAAAGAATAACAGGTCACAAGGATACAATGATAACCTCTCAATTTTCCTCTGCCCTATGCTCTTTTCGGTACTCAGCTCTTGACCTAGACTAGGTAAAAGCTCAACTGAATACGACTTGCCTATGGAGTCATGACCTTCCCCTTCGGAACGAAGGTCAAGCTCAACCAACTCGGGAGTTCCTCGTTGGGTGGGTGAGATCCCTGTCCTCTTCGGAACGACAGTTCTTAGATCCCCGTGTACACGTTTTTACCCGGACAGCCATTGGACCCAGCAGGTACCACATGGCTCTAACCACTATACTTAAGACAAATCTCGCCATTATTTCTCTTCACGTCAAATCCTAGGTTGTTCTAGGTATATCATGCCTAAATCGTCATTAGTTACAATCATACATGTTCATACATCTTACACATGTTTCATCACATCTAATTCACTCAATTAGTGGCCTCGTTTACCATCATGCAACACACAAGGTCTCGGAATCAATCCTCGACGCAAACAACAAAAATGCAGCCCGGTTCAGGTACCTCACGGTACCCCTTGGCGGTAGGGGTTACCGACCCCACGGCACCAGGGTACCGTCCCCACGATACGGGGGTACCGTCCGTGTCAGTTGGGATTCCTCCGGTAGCCCGTCACGGTAGATCCCCGACGGTAGGGTCTACCGTCACACGGCACCCGGGTACCGTCCCAGGTAGGTGCCGCCAGAAACGAAACGAAACCGGGGAGGCTGGCGGTAGCCAGGTACCGTGTCAACGGTACCTCCCTACCGTCTGTCGCGACGAACACCAGACCTGCACTAGTTCCGTTTTCGTCCCTTTTGCAGCAACCACGCCATTGATAACAAGCATAACAGTTCATAAAACGTTAACCTAGCATTCCATAACTTATCCTCAATCATTCTAACACAACCCATGTCTTTCGAACCATAAACCACAACACAAAACCTAATTCACATATAATCCATATAAATCAACCGTAATGATTCCATGAACGTAAGATTCAAACCTACGAATATAATCCATACGTTAGATGACCACGTTCTCACCTTGAATTCGACGATTAAACTACGATATGGTACTCACGAACGACGGCGCCAAACTCTTCTTCTTTCCTCTCTTCTTCTCTTCTTCTCCTTCGTGCGTCGCTGCTGCCTTGATCGAGAGAAACGAGAGACGTGAGAGAGTGTGGAGGAGGTTACGTGAATGTGGTGTGAGGCGTAGGGGTTTGGGGCGTGTAAGGGGTGTATTTATACTTTTGGGGTTTTGGGCTCCGTATTAACTAAACGTACCTGGCCCAAACGCACTTTCCGGCCCCACTAAGTCCAAATTCGAATCCAATTTCACCGGCAGATTCGATCCGTCGAACCCTACATAACGGTATTATTTTAAATCTTAAACGAAAGGTATATTTAATTCCCACCGGGTCCGTCTCAGTTATTAATTAATTATTTCCAATTAATTAATTCTGATAGGCCGGGTTTCGGGGCGTTACAGTCCTTCTACTCCCAAGCAGAAGGAACTCATGATGAAGGTCCCATATGCTTCTGCAATTGGTTCCATCATGTATGCCATGATATGTACTAGACCTGATGTCTCATTCGCTTTAAGCGTGACCAGCAGATACCAGGGGAATCCAGGTGAAGCACACTGGACAGCGGTAAGGAAGAGCTGAAAGTGATCGGTTACACTGATGCCAGCTTCCAAACCGATCGAGACGATTACAAGTCACAAGCAGGGTATGTGTTTTGCCTGAATGGCGGAGCTTTTAGCTGGAAGAGTTCTAAACAGGACACAACCGTCGATTCAACTACAGAGGCTGAGTACATGGCTGCTGCTGAAGCAGCAAAGGAAGGTGTTTGGATAAAGAAGTTCATTTCTGAACTTGGAGTGGTTCCTAGCATTAATGACCCAATCCCGTTGTTTTGCGACAACACTGGGGCCATTTCACAGGAAAAGGAACCACGATCTCACCAAAAGACCAAGCACATTGTACGACGTTATCACATCATACGAGAAATCGTAGACATAGGTGATGTAGAGATTTGCAAAGTAGGAACAGACGACAACATAGCCGACCCCCTGACCAAGCCCTTGGGAAAGCTAAAGCATGAGGGTCACACTAGGTCAATGGGCATTCGACCGATGCCAGATTGGCCATAGTGCAAGTGGGAGATTGTTGGCGCTGGTGCCCTTATGGCCAACTGCTGTTGTAATATCTTAGATATTTTCTATCATGTAAAGGCAGATGCATTAAGTTTACAAACATCTCATGCTAATGTAAACTCTTAATTGCATTCCTAGAATTATATTATAAGATGTTTATCAGAATTAGTCTTCTGATGTTGAGACTGACATCTTGTCACTTAGTATAATTCTGAACGGTCTATAGTCGAAGCATTAACGAGAGCAGGATATCGTTAATGCGTGTGAGACTAGTGAGAGTTAGATGTTTGACCTAGTCTCTTGGTCAATGACGGAGTGTTCGCATCTACTCTCGGGCAGATATTATCGTTAATAATAGGATGCCAGACCTGACCCACCTTAAGGGCATTGCCTAGACTTTTAGTCTATGCTCTAAGTGTCCTTAATGCGACTATTGGTATAATGATCCTTAGACTTGAAGTATTACGTTCTTCGAATGTGTGAACCCGCATGCTTTGATTCATTGTCCTAAGCCTTATGAAATAAGGATGGTACACGGGCTTTGTGTTGGGCATGCCGCTGCACATATTCAAAGACGTAGATTACGTACAAAGAATTTGTCACTGCTACTCAAGCAGAATAATGTCTTGTAGGGGCCCACTGATAAGTATGACTGAAGAAATGCATGGCCATGCTGAGATGAGTTTAGACATCTGTTCTCATCAGTCAGACTTGTTAATCAGTAGATAACTTAATGGCTACAAGTTGGATATTGTATCCCTTGCACTAAGTTAAGACATTGAGACAAAAGGATCTACCTAATACAAAGTCTTAGTCGTAGAAAGGTTTTGATGGAGCAAACGTCTGAACTTATAATCTGGGGGTAATAATGTGTTGCTAGATACCGCTTATTACTTATAGTATTGGTGTAGAGTCAATACTGTGGCCAGTTTTATAAGTGCCTATGTGGGTCACACACTTTGAACAATTTAAAAAGTAGGATTAATAAAAAGGGATAATATTTAATTTGTATATTGTAAAATAGTAAAATAAAATGTTTAATATAATATACGTATATATACATATTTTGTACACGCCACTCACATATAAATATATGTATACATAATTGATATGTACGATTATATATATGTGTGTGTAATATGTATGCAACGTGTACATATATGTATATATTACTTTATTTATATATTATATTGTGTACATTTTATTTTGGAGTGTCATTTTAATTATGAAAATAATTAGTTTGACAAAAACTATTTTAAAGTATATTTTATATACTTGTTTTAAAATGTTTTGGGTATTTTATTTTAAATAATAAAATTATTGATGTCAAATAAAATACACTTTAAACATTTGAGAGGAGAAGAATTTTAAATTCATCCACCCTACCTTTCGTACATATGCTTTGTGGAGCTTCCATTGTCTCCCACTTTGTAAAATGAGTGGTGGAGGTAAATTGGACAAAACCTTTTGTCATTTTATCATTATCAATGTTTCTCTTTCTTTAATAGATTAAATAATGGATCTTCACCCTCTACTCACTTGAGTTGTTCGGCCAAAGAGAAGAGAGGGAAGAGCATAATATTTGAGTACCAAAAGTTATTATTTTGGGTGTAGAAAATTGTTATAATATTTTCTTTAAAATATTATTGATATATTTTCTACTATTTAATATACAAGATTTATATTATCCCTAAAATAATCTTTATATAAAATATACTATTATAATCTTTACTAGCATAAAGATTATAGTAGACTCCGGAGATTGTTCGTGTGTCAAAGTTGGAGGCCGGACGCTTGAACGGCTACGTTTGCTCCTTCAACATCTTTTGCTCGACTTCTCGTTCATACCGCTTTACCAGAGAAGGTATAAGTTTCTATCTCTAGCTATAGGTTTAGTACGTGTTCTTGGGCTAGTAATCACTATTGGGAGATTAAATTTTTGTATTTCCGCTGCCCTCCCTACTGTGGTTACCTTTCAGGAAATTCTATGCCTACAACTATGACTATAATCCCAACAAGTTTAGAGCTGAAAGGAAAATCCCCTGCAAATTCAAACTTGATGTAGGGACACACACCATTATTTATTTCGGACCCAAACTGAATTAGGTACCAAAATCTTCCTCCTCCTAATGCAGGAAGCCTCTAAGTACCTAGGTGTCTGGTACTTAGACAGTGGCTGTCAAGACACATGACGGGTGATGCGAGCCTTTTGAGCAATCTAATTCCCTATGATGGTCCAAGAGTTACTTTTGGAGGAAGCAATGATTTTGGCCTTACAATAGGGCTAGGAAATCTGGTGTATAAGGGACTAACCATCCAGGCTATATCTTATGTGGAAGGTCTCAACTATAACCTTCTAAGCATAAGTAAGTTCTGTGATAAAGGTTATTCTCTGGAATTCTGCAAAGACATGGCATCCCTCAAGAACATCTCCACAAATGAAGTCATTCTCACTCGGAAGAGAATCAAAAATATCTATGAAGTGATATGGGATGATGTCAAGGAAGCATGCCTAATCAGCAAAGGTGACACTAACGTTATATGGCTTTGGCATAAGAGGTTGAGTAATCTCAACTTCAAAACCCTCAACAAGATGTCCAAAGAAGAGTTAGTAGAAGGTATTCCCAAAGCTATATACAAGAACGAAAGCATTTGTGATGCTTGCCAGAAAGGAAATCAAGTTAAGTCTACTTTCAAGGCAAAACCGGCACACTCAACTACAAGGATACTAAGTCTTATTCACATGGACTTATTTGGACCTGTTACACCAATAAGTCTAAGTGGAAAGAAATATGTTCTAGTAGTAGATGATGACTATTCAAGATACACGTGGACAATCTTCCTCAATAGCAAGAAGGAAACTCAAGGGAAGCTCACAAACTGCGTGAAGCTGATTCAAAACCAAGCAAGTCAGACCATCTAGAAGATCAGATCTGACAAAGGCACAGAATTCCTGAATGAAATCATCATTCATTACTGTCAAGAAAACGGAATTCTTCATCAGGCATCTGCAGCAAGGACACCACAACAGAATTGTGTAGCTGAAAGAAGGAATAGAACCTTGAAGGAAGCAGTAAGAACCATGCTGGCAGAAGCTTTCTTACCAAAAAGGTTCTGGGCTGAAGCTGTAAACACAGCTAGCTATACTCAAAACAAGAGTATGATTTATAAAAGGCACAACAAAACTCCCTATGAACTGTGGAGTGGGAGAAAGCCTAATATATCATATTTCCATATTTTTGGCAGCAAGTGTTTTGTGTTAAACAACGGGAAGAATCATCTGAACACTTTTGATGAGAAATCAGATGAAGCCATCTTCCTTGGATATTCTTTGGAGAGCAAGGCATTCAGAGTTTTCAACAAAAAAACCATGATCGATCAGTGAAGAGTGAATACATGTTATTTTTGATGATAAAAATGTTGTTGACAAACCATAAAAGCATGATCATGTGGTTCTGGATCTATCAGCAAGGATGAAGAAGTCAGTGAAGGAGATAGAATGAAGCCTACGAAGTTCATTCCATTGAGAAGTCTACCTCTGAAGACTACACAGAGAAATCCGGATTCATATAGTGCGGAGCCTACCGGAAATCATGGCCAGCCTTCCAATATTCGGATTCAGTGTATCATGAAAAAGAGGGAAGAGTCCCACGGGATTGTTAAGAAGTGGTGGAGTTCCTTGATCATGGCCAGTGGCTTGTTGGAGACCTCGGTAATATAAGTTAATATTAGTAATATATATTTATATCTTAGTATTATAAATTTAATAAGTTAGTCTTTTTATTTCATTCACAGCATATGGAAGAAATCATGATCTACTTCATTAAAATGTATAACAAGAAAGATAGCACATATGCCGTCCTCCTAGAGAGCTTTCAAATGTTAAGTGTGGTCAATGCCAGTACTGAACAATTTCCAATCCTGGACACCGGCATCACGGTAATAGTTCTTGGTAGATGGAACACATGCTCTAAACCGTGGAAGGATATTTCATGTGTTTACTGGGTTCATAACATAAAAGATCATTGGGTCGCCATAAGAGCTGAATTGGATAGAAAGTGTCTGGTGGTGTTTGACTCCATACAAAAAATTACAAGCATGAGTAAACTTGAAGATGTACTGTCAAACATGCTCTGCGTCTTCCTCCAAGAATGGAAACAATGAGTATCATGCGGAAGAGACGATGACAGAGCACAGCGGTAGCCCAAAGCCCACACAAGGAACATTCGAGGTCAGAAACTTGATTATAAATGAATTATTCTCTCTCCAAATAACCAATGGACAATGGTTTATGAATTTTTAGTCTGGTCGACTCCATTGATCGACTAAAATAAGTGTCGACCAACTGGTCGCACTATTTGCATATCTTTCCATATGAAATTCGTTGACATTATATGCCATTATATAGGTTCCGGCGATAAAGACGAAGGTAAATCCAAAGGACTTTACACATATGAAGCTGTTTGTGAAGTCTTCACTGCAATACTTCCAAAAATTGATGAAAGAAAAGTTGTGCGATCATATGAAAATCCTAGAAGTGTTTAGGAGAGATTCTCCTTTTGGTGCTTTCCTTGATGTCCAACTTGTTCCCCCTCCAGCCATGTTATGGCAGTTGATGGTTAGGGAGGCTAATGTGGAAGGAGCAAAAGGTTCTGAAATGTGGTTTGTAGTAAATGGAGTTCCCATTAGATACTCTCTAATAGAATTTTCCTTGATTACTAGACTCAAATGTTCTGAACTAGCTCCTTGATATGAAGAGAAGTATGATAAGGATTCACTGCCTGTTTTTGTTAAAGAAAACTGGTCAAAGAGTGTGGTATGTTACACTTCTGTTGTCGAAAGGTTCTCAAAATTGTGCCGGCTACTTGACGATGAAGGGAAGAAAGAGTATGCACTCCAGTGGATAGTGAAGGTGGTGACATTGATGTTTGTTGTCCTCGTTTTAATTGGTCAAGTAACACCCGCCTTCCGTCGACCTGGTTCACCTGCGACCCAACGGATCGGTAGGGTTATATGGGCGGTCTGAGAACCGTCCGTGGAGAAAAACGCATTAATGTCTATTTATTATGAAACGGTTGGGTTTAATTGATGGGTTAATAATGACTATTTATTAGGAAAATGTTTATGTTTAATTGCTGAAATGAATGTTAGGAGTTATTCCCAAAATGTGAGTGACATAAATGCAGAGTAAAAGCGGAAGTAAATAATTAAGTAAAACGACAAATGGTGGGTTCATGCCCAAATGATTATTTAATTCAAATGATTATAATTATTAAAACACGTCCGCACGCCGCCCATCTTCCCAACATCACTGTCCTCCAGGATTAGCACCTGTACCGTCATGTCTACCTGCGTGTAGCAAAAACAACTACACGCTCAGCAAAAGCTGAGGAGTGAATCTAACAAAAGAACATGAAGTGATAACCCATATGACTATACATATATAAATATCTGTACTTAACGTACGGAAAACCACATGTTTACTAACTAATTAATTTTGCACTTGATGGGATATTATTACACATGAAAAAATGAATAACAACCACATTGAACGTTGATGTGACGTGGAACATACATGATGATGACGACCACATTGAATGTTGACATGACATGATGACAATATGACTTGATGCATGACTTAAACTATCAAGGACACCCCTGGCTTAGTCTCACTTGACAGGATCACCCCTGCACTCCGGTAATGAGCCGGGCTCGACGAAAATGTCGCAAGTGAACTAGCAAAACTGGGTGGTAGCCGTAGCCTGACTACCATGTATGTACACAAAGCCCACCTGATGAAAACCCGTTGGATCCTGAAGGTTCCTGGACGGGCCCACTGTAGTAGGCGCACGAAAGCCTGACCTCCCTACAGCGGTATGCACATGATGATAAACCTAGGACATGCGTCTAGGATGAACATGATGAATGCTTGATATAAGTTAGGCCTTGCGGGTATGATGCCCGGTGGCTAGGGTTAAAACGTACGTACGGGATCCAAGAACCAAACTTGAGTACCTACTCGTTTGGGGGTACCACCCACCCAACAGTGAACACTACGCTGTCGGTTTTTGGTTGGCCTTAAGTGAAGGTAAGTTTAAGATTTCCAAAACCCTTTTATCTTAAACTAGGCCTAGCTTAAGGATTATTAGGAGTACTCTGTATACTGGAATATAGTTTAATTAGTTAAACTAGCTAGAATTCATTTAAGGGTTGACAAATATTAAAGTGATTGGCCTTAGACTAAGAATAGTTTATGGATACTGTTGAATGACAAATGATGAATATACATGTTGGATGATTGAATAATGAATGTTGAAAATTGAATATTGATTATTGAATATCTGAACTGAACATTATGTGCATGATATCAAATGGTTGATTATGAATTCAGATTCAATTTATGTGGATGTTCGACAGGGTGTAGTGTGTTTTATTTGCTACACGCAGGTTAATAGAATGATGCGATGAGATCCTGGAGGCAGACGGAGGCGAGATAGTCAGAATGGATGTGATGGTTTTGAACTAAAGAATATAAATAAATTATGTTTGTGATTATGATTTGTTAAGCTTCCGCAATATTGAAAACTCTGTACTTTTTATGATATGAAAAATATTATTATGATAAATAAAAGTGTTTGAAAAGTTTTAAATTTTACGATTACCAAGTTAATACTTTAGTCCGAAAGGGGCTGCAGACCTTGGACGGATTAGGGTGTTACAATGTCCATGTGAATCTAGAGTAGTCATCAACGATCACAAAGGTGGAATAGTTTCCCCCAAAACTTTTTGTTCTTGATGGTCCAAAGAGATCCAAGTGCAAAAGTTGTAGGGGCCTTGTTGTAGACACAACTTTTTTCGATTTAAATGAGGCCCTTACTTGCTTGCCCTTTTGACATGAATCACAAATGGTGTCTTTCTCAAACTTGAGTTTCGGAAGACCAGCCACTAAGTCTTGTGAAACCAATTTATTCAAAAGGTTCATGTTGACATGAGCTACTCTACGATGCCATAGCCACATATCGTCCTCTTTACTCATGAGACATTTGGCAAAGTCGGAGGGTGATTCACCTAAGTTAACCATGTAAATATTATCAATTCTATCACCATGAAGAATCATCTTATTGTCACTAAGACGTTCTACCGTACATGATTTAGAATCGAAGGTCACACGGTTTCCCTTGTCACACAATTGACTTATGCTCAAGAGATTGTGTTTAAGACCCTTAACCAAAAAAACATTATCAATAGAGGAGGTTTCGTTTTTACCAACCGAACCAATGCCGATTATCTTGCTTTTGCTATTATCGCCAAAGACAACGTTTCCTCCTTTAGTTGGTTTGATTTCCAAAAACTTGGATGCATCTCCGGTCATGTGCTTGGAGCATCCGCTATCAAGGTACCAAAGTACACTTGATGCCTTCAAGCACACCTACAAATCAATTTAAAAAGATTTAGGTACCCAATTCCTTTTGGGTCCTTGGGCGTTAGGTGCACGTTGGTAGTGTGATTGGTTTTGAGTGCAATGCCTATGTCTAGTGAAACAAACCAGTGCTATATGTCCTACCCTATTGCAATAATGACAAATAACATTTGGATTATGCATTCTCCTAGGTTGATAATAGTTACTAGGTATTCTATATTGATTGATCCTAGTTTGAGAAAAGTTTTGTTTATGCATATTTGGAAAATAGTTTCTAGGTTCTCTAACTTGACCATTGTTTATCCTAGTGTTCTTTCTAGGTGGTCTAGTGTTCCTAGTTGATGTAGGTTGTCTATTATTGTTCATTTTAGTTTTCCTAGGTTGAGCCTTAGGTTGTTTAGGTGGTTGCTCAACTTTTTCCTTATTATTAGTTTCATTTTCAAATCCTAAGCCATGTTTAGTAAGTTGCAAATTATCAAGAACATCATTGAGATTTTTATGAGAAACACCAAACTTCTTTAAGGTTCCTTCAAGTTTTGCAACTTGTTCTTTAAGTGATGTACAAGAACTACATTTTGANTTTATCCTAGTGTTCTTTCTAGGTGGTCTAGTGTTCCTAGTTGATGTAGGTTGTCTATTATTGTTCATTTTAGTTTTCCTAGGTTGAGCCTTAGGTTGTTTAGGTGGTTGCTCAACTTTTTCCTTATTATTAGTTTCATTTTCAAATCCTAAGCCATGTTTAGTAAGTTGCAAATTATCAAGAACATCATTGAGATTTTTATGAGAAACACCAAACTTCTTTAAGGTTCCTTCAAGTTTTGCAACTTGTTCTTTAAGTAATGTACAAGAACTACATTTTGAACTCTCCGGTTTGTCGGTGCTTCTTTTTCCGAAAAACTTATTTTCTTCTTTAAGTTTCTCATTATCTTTTGATAATTTATCAACCTCCTTCTCCATGGAAGTAAGTTGTTTCTTTAAATCCTTGTTAATTTTAGAAGCGTTGACATATTCATCATAGAGTTCAATAAAAGCTTCTTGTACATCATCCAAAGTATAGGAATCTTTAGAAGTGGTACATACCTCTTCCTGTGGTTCCTCGTGTGCCATGAGGCAAAGGTTGGCGCTTTCATTTTCTTCATCTTTTGATGACTCGTCCCCGGAATCACCTCCCCATGAGATGTAAGCTCGGTGCTTCTTGAACGATTTCTTCTCCTTCTCGTTTTTGGCATTTGGGCATTTTGGCTTGATATGCCCAACTTCTCCACACCCATAGCACTTGGATGGTCCTCCATGCTTCTTGCCCTTTCGTTCATACTCCTTGCGCATGAACTTGTGGAATTTCTTGATAACGAGCCCGAATTCGTTGTCTTCATCACTCGATTCCTCCATGGCGGGTTCTTGGCTTGAGGAAGCCTTGAGTGCAATCCGCTTCTTCTTTTGTTCACCTAAAGAGGGGAATAAAATGGTAGACTCATAGGTTTTGAGGTTACCTCTAAGCCCGTCAATGGTGACGTTGGTGATGCCGATGGACTCTTGGATGGCATCGGCTTTGGAGCGCCACTCCGGTGTGAGACTTCGCAGGATTTTTCTCACAAGCTCCTTGTCTGTGTACGTCTTCTTGAGAGCATGGAAATCATTGACGATTTTGGAGAATCGTTCAAACATCTCATCGATTTTCTCATTCTCCTTCATACGAAACATTTCATATTCATGGGTTAGAAAATCAATTTTAGCTTCTTGGACTTGATCCGTATATTCGTAGGTGATTTCTAGTTTATCCCACATTTCCTTTGCGGTGGTGCAACAAGAGATCATGCGGTAGTCATCCGGGTTAACGGCACAATAGATGATGTTGATGGCCTTGGCATTGTTCTCCACTTTCTTAATGTCTTGTGCATCATACTCATTCTCGGTCTTAGGGACGTTCGTTTCCCCGACCTTCTTCATTGGCTCGTCTTCACAATTTTTGATAATTCTCCAAAGGAGAAAGTTGGTGGATTGGATGTAAATCCTCATCCGCTCCTTCTAATAGGTGTAGTTCGTTCCGTCAAACAACGGAGGGCTCGTGGTGGATTGCCCTTCACCTAAACCTGCGTATGAACTTTGAGTACAAGCCATTGATCGTTTCTCTCAAACGGTTAAGTCATTCAGAGAGTAAGGCTATGATACCAATTGTTAGAATCAAGGCCCAACGCTAGAGGGGGGGTGAATAGCGTTTAAAACAAAATCGCAGAAAATAAAAAACGAGAGCGTTAAAGTAAAGAGCGTAAGGAAGGAGCACACCTAATTTTATCCTGGTTCACAGCGTGTGGCTAATCCAGCCTCCCGAGAGACTCTCTCGAGCTACACTAACTCCGTTAAGCTTAATGGTGCTCAACAAACCGATAAAACTTGAGAACTCGAGTCACACCGGACTCAACGCCTTTGCTCGGAGATACCGCACTCCAAGACTTCTCACAAAGGAACAAAGAACTTCCTTCGAGTTTACAACCAGGGAACAACCTCCCTTTAAGTGTATGAAAACACTTAAACACTCAGGAATAAAACTCTCACAAAGAGTATATATGAGTGAACTAGTAAACGCTCAAGAACACGACAATTTCTTCAAGAATTGGCTCTCAAATAGCTAAGAAAAATAGGAATGATTATGCAATGAAAGAGTATTGAAATGTTGAAGAATTGTGTGTAAAATGAGAGGATTTGGGTGCCATTTTATAGCCCAAAATGGGATAAATCCGTTGCTAGAGTTTCCAACAAGATGAAGACAAATTTTTCAAAGTTGGAAGGTGATAATCGATTGTCTAGACATAACAATCGATTATTAAAAGATTCCCTATCCAAAAGTCAAAACTCTGAAAAACTATACGTTGGAGGACAACGGTAACCCAGATAATTGATTGTCAACGAGTGATAATCGATTATCGGTCCTCTCAGAAGTTTCTGGGTTTTGGCTGCAAAGGCTGATAATCGATTATTGCATAAGTGATAATCGATTATTGCGTGCTTCAGAACTTTGAAGTTCAAAGCTACAGAGGCTGATAGTCGATTGTCACTAAGGTGATAATCGATTATCACCTAGCTAAAACTCAGTTAGTGAAAACCCGTTTTCAAAAACCGAGGTCCAAAAACGAAGTGTTCCCACAAGTAAAAACAAAGTTTGAAAAACATTGTATATGGTATAAAATAGTGAAACAAAGACTTGTTTGGTAAAAACCAAGTCTCCAAGGTCGTAAATCACGTGCGTACGGTTTTGACCGTTTTTCACGTGTCAGATCGATTGACCAAGATACAAAAGTGGTTTTTATAAAATAATTATTTGGAAACCTTTTAAAAATGCTCAGAGGTAAAAACAAGGTTTAAAATGTTGAAAACCACCGAGTCGGTTCAGGCGCCAAAAACCGAACGCCGAACTCCGAATGCCGAACGCCGAACGCTGACCTAGGTGGTTTAGGTTCCGAGCAAGGACCAGAGATTTTAACAATAAAAAGATTTATCAAAAATGTTTATTTTGATGCATAAAAACATTTTATGATATTGTAAATAATTTTGACTTTTTGAGAAACGAGACTTGAATTGATTATCAGTTTTGATCACAAAAGACCGACTCAACTAAGTCTTCAATTCTTGATCTTGTCCTTGAGTCTTTTTGGTCTTGTCCCATGCTATTCTTCACGCCTTGAGTAATTATACGAAGCTCTTCATATCCACGGCGGTTTGGCAATTATGAAAACCTGTCAGAAATGAACACGACTTTAGTTTAACGTACAAAGTGTGTTCCAACATAGTCGTTTACACATAGATAACCAATTAAACATATAATACAACCTACACATATACTATATTTCATTAACAAATTCCTAATTGAAGACAGTAACCAAATAAAGGGACACATTAATCTCAACATTTCCATTTAGATTTATCTCTAGCCAAATAAAAATTCAGATTATTATTTGATTACCTTTTGATGCGGAGCTTACTTCACGCCCTCTAAAACTTTTTATTTTGCAAATCCATTTATCACAAAAAAAGAGTCTAAAGGCTTAACCATGTTGAGATATATTATCTAGAATAAACTCTCATGCACACAGAATATATATTACATATCTACACTAAAATTTTAAACCAAAGATAAAGCAAAGCACATAAACTTACCAAATTTATCTCCTAAGCAATGATAGCTCTCAAATAGTGTTTCTGGACAATTCCACCATCCAAATATATCAATCACAATTTACAGTGCATTCAACACTCATAGTGTTTCCAAATTTAAAAACTGAAAACTTAACCATTGGAAGCTGTTTTGGCATCACCAAAACATCAATCACAATGCATCCACACCTCATAGAATATAACATACATATCTCATAGTTCACTAAAAGGTTAAAGATGAAATGTTTGAAACATGCTTTTGCCTTTTGTAATAATGGTTGTCCAAAGAAACGGGCCACAAAACATCAATTCTCCTAAAATTTTATAGCTAACCATTCATAATAATACAAATACATGTACAAAGTGACCTGAAAATTTAAGATGGCTTCATTAATGCTGTAAACATTATGGAAGAGAGCAACCCAAAGGCCAATTTCACCCACTCCAAGAGTTTTCAATTTCCCTATATGCCAACCCTATTACTGGTTAAGGGTCAATGTGTGAGTAAATAAATGAGACTGGATTTTGGACGGTGTAAGGGTAATATAGTCAGAACATTAATCCATGCAATCCTCCCACCACAGATTAAAATGTTTAGTAACAAAAAAATTCACATTGGCACGGGGATTAAACCCTCCCTCTCATTTATATATTATATAGGATTCAAATGGTGTACAGTTACTTAAAAAAACCAGTGCATATAGATAGGCTTCTACTACCACATGAAGCCCAATAGACGTAGATGCTTCTGGCAGAGACCACACTTGATTCAGGCTAATACCTATAAGCAAAAGTGTAAGACCTTCCAACTGTGGTAAAGAATTGAATTATGGACAGAGGGAGCTGAACATGTGAATGATTTATTTAGTAGGACAAGTACATAATAAATGATCTAATATCACACAACATACAAACATCAAGGCAAAACTTTCACGATTCGCGAGAGGTACGGAAAAGCATATTTTCATGATTACCCTTGATTTCATCCGATTAGATCGATTTTGGTATGATTTGATCTGATTAGATTCGATCTGATGCATTTAAAGATTATATCAGGCAATTAGGACACAACCTATACAAGTAAACAGGTTTCCTGTGAAAGTTTGATCTGATCTTAAGTAATTTGAATTTCATTTGATCACATTATATCTGTTTTGGTCTAATTTGATCGAATTAGGTCCGATCTAATCTTTTCAAGATTATATTAGGAAAATAGGACACAATCTGTATAAAAGTTTAGATTTTCTAGGAAGATTTAATCTGGTATTATTGGTTTTGAATTTGATTTGATCCGATTAGATCTGTTTTTGTCCGATTTGATCTAATTAGGTACGATATGATGCATGTAAAAATTTAAATGTGTGATGCTTTACTATTGGAGAAATTAAAAGTTTAAAGTGGTATAAGTGAAACTTATATCTCAAACTTGTCATTTTCAATTATAACGCCCTCAAAACTGGTGTAGAAGTTAATCGATAAGTAAATAAATAAGAATTATTTATTTACGATACTCTATTATTTTAAATAATTAATAGACACTTTATAGATTCTAATCGTCTCAATATTTGGTGACTGATCTGATTTAAATATAAAGAAATAAAGTAAATAACTGAACAGTGTTAGTTAAGTGAAACAATTAAGACGAACCAGGTGGAACTTATAAATGCTTATTGATTGATTATAAAAGTTATACCGTTGGGTAAGGATCGACGAATTGAATCCAACAACGTGAACAGATCTCAATTTGGAGCAAGTTGAAACGAAAAGTATGTTTTACCCAGACATGTTATTTTAAATTACAGAGTACAAAAACCCTAGGTATATACTACCTCCGTCCCAGAGTATTTGTCCACTTTCATTTTTACACACCATCCAATACACTTCTTTAATCCATTTTATCTTGTAATTTGTATATTAAAAAATTATAAAAATTATATATTAATAATCTATATGTTAAGACAAATCAAACAAGATCACAAATGACTATATTTAGGCTTACACATTGAGAGAATTTGATGAGTCAAAGTGCTTAGATGAACAATTCCAAAAGTCAAAAGTGGACGAATACGGAGTATATAGGATCTTTCGCTTGCGTGTATCTAAATCGACGTCATCGTCCTCGCTCATCTTTCTTATTCGCAGACATGGGTTACGACGGCAAGGCGGAAGAGTCGTCCGACCGGCGACGATCTACAGAGGCGACGACGGTGAGCATTCTGCGAACCTCGAACCAGCGAGCTCCGACAACGTCTGGCCAAATCCCAGCATCAACTCCAGCCAATTCTTCTCTAGGCAAATCAACAACGCAATAGCGCTCAATCTAACGCCGAGTTCCGGCAGCGACGCCGCTGACTGACCACAGTGACCAGCGACGACTTCTTCCGGCAACCCCTTGTCTAGCGACCTCTTTTCCGGCGAAGTCCAGCAGCTCCGGCAGAGTAACAGCCAGCATCCAGTGGCGGCGGTGAGCTGGTAACTATCCGGTGAACTGACAACCGTGGTCACCCAGCAACTCCGGCGACCTCCGGGCCATGAAGGTGAGGTTCGGGCAGTGAATTTTGACCATGAACAGTGAGGATGAAATCGAGCAACAACGATCACAGATCCGGGCGGGCTTGGGCAGTGACGGGCTTGCTTGGGCAGCGATACCGGACTGTGTGTGACGTCGTCTACCCTCTGTTCGGGTCAAGTTCTCTCTCTTACCATCTAGGTTTGAAAATTCCATTTATAATTGTTATTGTGGTTGATTTATCTATGTGATTGTTGATTGTGGTTTGAGGATTGTTGTCGTTGAATCGAAAAGGGGTAGTATGCATGACTTAACCTAATCTATGTTTTTGGATGTGTTCATGATGCTGTTATGGAAAATACGAATTAACAAACATCCTTTTTTGCTTTGAATGTATGGTGCTGGATTTTGTGGCCTACCCAACTGATTCATGTCTTGTGGACAATTCATGAATGTTTTAACTGTATTATTTTGGACCCGTTGTTGTTGCTACATTACTTTGCTAGTGGTTTTGTTGTCTTTGTGGACTGCCTAGATTGGTGTACCATTGCAGGTATTTGTTTGCGTGAATTTTGCACCTTTGTGGAATGCCCAACCGATTGTATGGTTAGGTTTATTGCACTTAGAAGTTGCTGCTTTTGTGGCCTTTGAATAACTGGTCTGGTGACTGTGGCTCGGGCTTGGGCCGTGGGTTTGTTTGTGTATTCAAATTACTACCTTTTACAAGACTGAAGGTTTTCGAGCTTAGAGAGTGATTTGTCTACCTCTGTCGCCCCGATACTTCTCGTGCTGAGACGTACTTTGGAGAAATTGATTTTCTGTAATTCATCTCTAAGTTCTCCCCCCCTGATTTTCTTGAAAAGTTATCACATACTGTAAAAAAATCTCCGAGACTAAAATGAATGAATGAATTCCCATTTAATCAAATTATCTTAGGATGCATTGCGGCATGTCTTTGCAAGTAGGATTGTTTATATAAAGGCTTCGTGGCAGTGAATCCGTTTGTCAATTGTTTAATGTGCTTGCAATAACTTGCTTCTCATGGATGAGTCCTTGCAGCTCCTTCCTATTGTTGAGACACTTGATTTCATAAGGAACAAGTTTGCTAGAGTTGATAATCTTCTGAAGTGCACCAAATTGAAGTTTTCAAATTCATTCTCCTAAGAAGCATATCAACATTTGGCGAGGTAAATGTCTTAGTGCTTTAGTTGATGTGGTTCATGCACATAGATTTTTTAAGTGATTGTTTTATGACTTGCGTACAAACAAGGGTCTTGCTTTACTCGACTTGGTTTAAAGGGATAGTCATCTCAGCTAATCCAAAATGTTACTGCCATTTTGCCAAATGATAAACATAACTTTCAAATTTTGATTATAAAGAGTACTTCAAAAAAGATATTCTTCTTACCCTTTTCCTTTTTCAGATTGATTAAGTATTTACTTTCTAGAGGTTTATTTCTATGACTAATGTTCTTCCAATGATATTGCTAGGCTCAACCCAGGGACTGTTGGTATTGGTTAGCAAAGAATTGTCTTAATCTTCCAAGTTTGAGAGGCCAAGTAAAGTACAAGAAGTCACTCTGCCTATGATACTCACTCTTCCACATACTTTGCCTGTGATAGACATTTTGCACAAATTTTATTTTGATGTATCATTATCCAAAATGTGTTGCTTTTTTTAAACCTTTGTAATATGTATGCTGCATTAAGTTGCTCCACTAATATTAAAGTAAATATTAAGTTATTATATGATATTAATATTTTGAATATATGATTTATTTTTGTTTCGTGATTAATATTTTATATTTGAAATAAATTTTAATTATTAAATATGGGTGCTTGTGAAACACAGTTTGAAATGAAATAAAATAGTCTTCTATGTTCTAGATATACCTTAAAAAACAACAGTTGTTTGATGCAAATATTTCTAGTAGTCTTTCAAGCAGTTGTCTGATAACTAATTTGATTACCACTCAAACATATAGTTTGAATATTTCAAGGACCACTAAACAAAATCATAGTGTTAATAATCGTTATACAACAAAATTAAACAGTTGTTTAAAATAAGACCAAAGTAGTAGTCTTAATTTGTACATACAACATAAAATAACAGTTGTTTGATGAAAATATTTGTAGTGGTTTTCCGAGCAACTGTCTGATAATCAATTACACTACTATTCAAAAATATAGTTTGAATATTTTAAGGACAACTACAAAAAAACATTGTGTTATTGCGCACTATACAATTGAAAAAAACGGTTGTTTAACATACAACAAAATTAGTAATCTATGTTTTAGAAATATAACACTAGATAACAGTTGTCTAACACTATTTCTATTTAGTAGTCTTCCGAGCAGCAGTATGATATATCTTTCAACTACTTTAAAAATTAGATATCTATACTTTTGATCGACAACACTAAACAATAGGAGTCTGAAGTCAAAAACAATAGTAGTATATATTATAGATAAACAACAAAAAATCACAAAGAATACAAACGTCTGAACAGGCGGGAACAGGCTCCACACTTGTATAAAAAGTAAGCAAAAAATAGAGAACTATAATGTGAAGAGCTTATCGGATATAAGAGAACATAGACTTAAGTGCAATTACAAAGCCGTCTCACAACCTTCCACTTAGATCTAGGAATAAAATCATTCCCGGAGCCCCAACCCCCGCAAGGGTAAGGCCTAAGGTCAGATAATCCGATCAAGAAGAAATGTTCTGAGCCAAGAAATGCAATTGACGTAGGTCCAGTCTTAAATCCAGAAAAGCCCAACTAAAAGAGAAATGAAATAAAATGTGCAAAAATAATCCATGGGAGCCGAGGAAGAGCCCATAAAACAGCCCAAGCAACTCGGCCCAAACTCGAGAAGAAGCCCAAATGTGCAAGAAAAGCCAGGCCAAAGACAACCAGCCCAATCAACCTAGTCCGCTACAAGCCCAAGCCACACCCAGCCTAGCCAGCTCCAGCCCACCGCCGTAGGTCCAATCCAATCAATAGGCCAGCGCCCAGCCCGCAGCCCAGTCCAGCAAGCCGGCCATCTCAGTCGTGCGTCCAAATGCCCAAGCCCAAGTTGCTGCAATCTCGTGACCAGCCCAACATAAGTGAAGGCCAGCCCATCCAGGAAGTCCAATCCAGAAGGCCGCCCAAGCCGATTAGTCCATCCAGCCTATCCAAAATTAGGAATCCGAAGACGAGAAGTCCAAAATGTAGTCCAATGTAATGAACTCAGGCCAAGTAGCAATCCAAACGATGAGAATCCAAAGTGAAAAAGGTCTAAGAAAATAGAAAGAAGAAAGAGAGATAGGTACCACTACGGGTCAGTGGCCAACCCTTAGCCCATTACCGCCAGCGGATAGCGGGTGCTCTTAACCTCATGCGCAAGCACTGACGCAGGCGGAAGAAACCTCGCCGGGCCCCATCCAACCTCCCAACGAGGGCACCGATTTGATGATGGTACCACGCATACGCACTTTCCGTGTGCGCCCCGGGTGCTCAAATCCTCAATCCGCAAGCACTAACAGGCATCCTTTACCGCGGACGCGTACGTGCGCCTTTTGACCGTAGGCGCGGTCGTTAAGGCACTCAGATGAAGTGCGAGATGGAAAAAGCCTTTACCGGACAGCCACCTCTGCCCGGCCTAGGATGCCAAATACCGCTGGCAACTACGGGCACTAAAAACCTCAGACGCTAGCGCCTACGTACCCCAGGAGCCGCAGGAGTCGATGGGGACGAAAGAAACTCTGCAAGACTACGCCCATCATCTCGTAGAGGCACCGTTCACCATCGGTACAACACCTGGCCCCAAACCGCGGGAACCAACGGGAACCCTTTAACCGCGGGTACATACGTGCGCCTCTTAACCGCCGACGCGATCGTTAGGGCACTCAAAAAAGTGCAACCAGGGATTACCCCCATCCTCATCAATGCGAAAGAAAGGTATATCGTCCGTAGGAAGGAGAGATCGTACCCGAATATCAAGATCCTGCAGATTAGTAAACTCCCGCGTCCCATCTGTACTATCCACGTCCCACAAAGCCAACTCAATCGTCAGACCATTCGCTCGAACGTCACAATGAAACCACTGGACCGTCGCAATAGAACAGAGGAAACGCACCCTAACATAAACATCATGAAGGTACCACGGGGTACCCTCTCTAAAGAAACAAGCTAACTTTGAAAGGTGGGACTCCACGTGGATACGCAAGAAAGACTGGGATATACACCACTGAATACACCGAAGAAGCACGTCCATCCCTCCACGTTCCACTGGGTCCCACCTGAAAGCAATAGAAGAGAGGGCATAAAGAAACTTACCTGTCGAGTCACGCACGATCGCTGCATATGCCCCACGGAGCGGGGCCCTCACCACATTCACCTTGATGGTGCCACCCGGCAGTGGGACCCACCAAATCGGCGCTATCCTCCTGCGTCTAGAGCCTCGTCGAACGTGCTCCATAATCAGCGACCATCGGGGAGGCAAAGGACCCCCACTAGGCCAGCGACGATAGATGCACTCCGACACCGCCGTAGCTACCCGAAAGATAATGCGTGCGAAGTTCGGACTAGCATCCCCATACTTGCACGCAGCATAGTGCGTCCAAAGCTCCCAAAGAATGATAGTCGGTAAGCGATGGAATAGGAACGAGAGCATCCTGCTCTTCGGCCTCCGCGCCCACCATATACTCAAAATGTACCTCAAACTGTGATGTGTGCCCTGGATGCGGGCAGACTCTGTGAAATAAGTCCAAACACGCCGCGCCATGCTCCCACGATAGAAAATATGTGCTATGGTCTCTCGTCCTGGCGGCGAACAACAGAAGCACCGAGAGGGCAAAGCAAAGGCAAATCTCGCCAGGACATCATCAGTGGAGAGGCGTTGCATCAAAACGCGCCACGCTAGAAAGGACATCTTATAGGGTAAGTGCTTCTGCCAGCACCTCTTAAGCACAGTGTCCTCTAGCTCTTCGTCCCTCCTCGGTCTAAGAAGCTCCTTAGCAGAAGCAAGAGTAAACTTCTCGTCCGTAGACGGGGTCCAGATCGAAATATCTGCATGATCAGAAACAAGAGATGGCGGCTCAAGGCACAGTTGTCGTTGGAGGTCAGGGGGCAGCGCATCATGGTCAATCATAAAATCAGAGCGATACATATAGCCCACTTCATCAGTCCAATATCCACTACAGCCGTCCACCTGACGATGCAAGGCACCCAGTCCAGACCATGTATCCCACCAGAAATTAGACGTGCCAAAAAATACACACCATCGAATCATAGGCTCAACCACGGCCCGAACATCCAGCATGCGCTTCCATGTGTGAGAATCATTATTAACGCGCTGCTTGGACACAGGATGAACCCCGTCCAAATCGATTCCTGCGTCCTAAAATTCCACTAGAGCTTGGCCGAACAAGACTTAGCCAAAGTCATAAAATCGAGGAAGCCAACCCCGCCCTCTCTGGTCGGACGAGCCAAAGTCTTCCAAGATCCCCAATGATAGCGCCGCGTCCCCCCCAAGCCAGACCAAAAAAATCGTGCCATGATAGACTCCATCTCTCGAATCACCGTCTTGGGAGGATAGTGCGCAGCAAGCAAGTGTGTCGGGATCGCCTGCAGAACACTCAATCATAATAGCCTTCCCCCCGGAGAAGGATATCGCCCCATCCATGCACAACACTTGTCCCGCATCTTCTTCAAAACCGGCTCAAAATAATGAATGCGCTTCCTACCCTGGTAGATAGGGCAGCCAAGATAAGTAAATGGAAGCATATCCAAAGCACACCCGAGAGTATCTCTAACACGCTCCAGCACAGGGGCCAGCGCCTTAGGGTGCATATAGAACGCGCTCTTGGGGAAACTGACAGCCTGGCCAGAAATCTGCTCATATGAATGTAGAATCGCTCGAACTCGCTCCAAAGTGTCCCCCCTCGCCGATGTAAAGATGACAATATCGTCGGCATAGGCAAGATGGTGGATATGCGGTGCATCACGAGGCTGTGTAAAACGAACAACTGTAGGATCTGTATACAGCTGAGTCAAAGAGCGAGATAGGACCTCTGCTGATAGAATGAACCAGGACGGAGAGAGTGGGTCCCCCTGCTGCAGGCCCCTCGTCAAATGAAAAAAGCCCTCCCGAATCCCATTAATAATGACTGAGTACCATATATTCGAGATGGCCCGATAGACCAAATCGATCCAAGTCTCCGAAAATCCAAATCTGCATAGCACTGACATCAAGAAATACCAAGAGACTCGATCATAGGCCTTCATCATATCCAACTTCAGAATGACATCTTCATTATCCACACGCATCCCGTGACACATCTCCTGGGCCAAAAGAATATTATCAGTGATAGATCGCCCCGCCACAAACCCACTCTGATGGGGGGATAGCAGGCGAGGGAGCACAGAAGCCAAGCGAACCACCATAATCTTTGTGATGATCTTCTTGCAGTAATTACACAGACAGATGGGTCTAAAGTCCGCAAAGGTCACAGGATTGGGCTTCTTGGGCAACAAAACAATAAAAGTGTCAGTGAGGGAGCGAGTCAGATCGTGGCCCAAGAAAAAAGCCTGCACCATCGCCAATAAGTCCATGCAAATGATCGTCCAAGCAGCTTTATAGAAAGCCCTAGTAAATCCATCGGGTCCCGCTGCACTCCGAGAATCCATAGCAAAGACCACAGTCTTGACGTCCTCCATCTCCGGAACAGCACATAGCCGACCATTATCATCATCAGTGACCAGCCGTGGAATCATATCTAAGGCCGAAGATGTGACACTAGGATCTGCAGTGAACATGGCCTGAAAAAAGGTGGTCGCATGCATTGCAATTGCGGCTCTCTCCGTGACCCACTGCCCACGATCATCTTGTATGCGGTGAATGTAAAGCTTCTGCCGGCGATCCTTCACTATAGAGTGAAAGTACCCCGAGTTCCTCTCCCCGTCCGTCACCCATTTCACATGGGCTTTCTGCCGCCAAAACTCATCCTCGATACGGTAGTGGCGCTTCAAAAGTGCAGAGCGCCTCTTGAACTCAATGTAGGTCTCATCCGAAGGATCTGTCTACAACTGTAGCTCAATATCCCAAACACCATGCTCAAGCGCCTTAAGCCTGTCAAAGATGTGGCCGAAGGTATCACGGTTCCATCTCTTCAAGCTATGTGCCAGACGCTTGAGCTTAGCACCAAATATGAACATGGGACTGCCAGCAATGTCCTCCCGCCAAGAATCGGACACCACTCTCTGAAAATCCTCATGCTCCCTCCAGACATTAAGGAAGGTGAAAGGCCGTGCAGGAAGACGCTCATGAGACTTACACTCCACCAACAGCGGAGCATGATCAGATCCAACTCTATCCAAGTGATGCACCAAGCAAGAGAACATATCCATCCATGGCTGGTTAAACAGCAATCGGTCAATCCGGCTCCGAATCTCCATGCCGCCCACTCGATTGTTGAACCAGGTATATTCCTCCCCAGTGAAAGGAGAATCAACCAGTTCACAATCCTCCACGCATTCAACAAATGGCCGATATTTGACTGAAGCATACGGCCGACCACCTTTCTTCTCCGAGGGATCGAGCAGACAGTTGAAATCACCCACCACCCTCATGCCCTACCAGCCGGGAGAGCAGCGTGTGTCTCTCTAAGATATTCCCACAACGGCTCCCTGTCCCCGTACTTACATTTTGCATAAACAACTGATAACCAAAGAGGGTTAGGAAAAGAAGGATGAGAGAAGGAAAAGGTTAGTGACTCTGCAAAATGGGAAATAAAATGAATGGACAGTGCAATGTCAAACTTCCAAAAGAGCCAGATTTGGTCATCAGCACCACACCTAGCCCCCGTGAAACCCAACAGTATCGTGTAGTAGTCAATCTGCGAGGGTGCCTTCATAGGCTCCAAAATACCTAACAACATTGGGGTGTACTGTTTAAGTAAAATTTGAAGCTTAGAAAGGACATCCTGTGAGGTGATGCTCCTCACGTTCCAGACAAGGAACCACATCATCATTGGGAACGCGAAGAAGTGGAACGGGTGACTCTGCGTGGAGCAGGAGGCACCCCCGTCATGTGCTCTGTTGCTTTTCGGGCGTTCTTGGCCGACTTACCCCTAGTAGTCCCAGCCTCCCTTGCAGGGGAAAAACCACGCGCTGCAAGATCCCGGGCAATGTAAGTGGGATCCTCAAAATGATCACCTCTGGACCCGTCACTAGTCTACGAGCTACACTCGTCATGACTGTCCACAGGCATCTCCCCCTAAGCATCGAAAGCGTTAGACATGGTAAGGGCAAGTTCTTGGGGTTGAGGATCGGGAACATGAACAATGGGAGAAGGAGAAGAAGTAGAGAGAGCAAGAGAAACAACAACAAAGCCTTGCTCAACTCCAGTAGGAGGAATGGATTACTCTACAGTCAAAGACGCCAACTGTTCAACCACAACAGTTGTAGGAGTAGTGGCGTTAACAGTACAAGGGACTGAACTAGGGATAACAACATTCGGGGAGGGATGCGAGGAAGTTGGCACAAAGGCCTGCAAGCTGGATGAGGGTCCCTCCCCCTTACCTGAACCATCGACATCCACGACCTCAATAGGTCGGGATCCTTTCACAGTCTTTTCTCTCCAAACATACTGTGACTCCTCTCGATGGGAGCTACCCATACCTGTGTTGGAACACGGGTTTACGCCTTACGTCGTACTAAACTATGTTCGACTCTTATAACAGGTTTTGATAATGCCAAACCGCCGCGACATATCGAAGCTAAAGTGAGCAAAACTAAGGCGAAGGAACATGGCATGATGACTTGAGAACCAAGAACCCAGAATCAAGAATGAAGAACTAAAATCGTATTGAGTCGGTCTTAATGTGATCAAGACCGACACAAAATTCCAAATCTTGGCTCTCTAGGCTCAATTCATAAAAATCTCTTTTACATGTTCAAAACTTTTTTTCTTAAGTTTAAACTTGGGTCAAAACACTTGGAGTTCGCCCAAGCCAAAAACCAAGCCATCCGGTGTTCGGCTTTCAGAAACCGGCATTCGGCTTTCGGCTTTCGGCATTGGTTTTTGGCGTTCGAACCAACCAAGTGGTTTTTAACTTTTTATGACTGGTTTTTATCTCTGGGCATATTTAATTAGCTCTCCAACAAAAACGCCTCAAAAACCACTCTCCGTTTTTTGTCGTTTAGTAAAAACCATGCGAAACGGCACGAACTTGGTCAGCCGTGGTTTTCAACTAAATGACGTGGTTTTCAAGATGTTTTACTTGTCCTCTTAGCAAAATGCAATAAACAAATGTTTCCTAAACTTGGTTTTTATTCTGGAGAACTTGCATTTTTGACATCGGCTAACGGCGTGACTAAACCAACCATGGGTCTGGCTAAACCAGCCCAACAGCGATGTTGAGGTAATCAACAGCGCTGTCTGGACTAGGTAGCTAACAACATGGTTTGGCGTTAAGTCTTCCAACAACGATGTTGGTCACTAGACATCGCTGTTGAGCCAAGGTTGGATTTCCAGAAACTTCTGGAACAGCGATGTAGGCTTCCCTACAGCGCTGTCCAACCTAAGCCAAAAATATAGTGCATTGGCAGAAAGTTTTTGGACAGCGATGTTGACCCAGCAACAACGCTGTCAGGCCAAACTTCCATCTCCAAAGGCAGACCTAAACAGCGATGTTCTAGGATAGAACATCGATGTAGAGACCTGACCGTTGGAAGGAATTTAAGGCTAAAACTTTCCTTGTTTGGAAGTCAACAGCCAAAACAGTGATGTAGGAGTTTTGGACATCGCTGTTGGCTTGACCGTTGCTTCCCATTTTTTAAAATCAAGCCTAGAACAGCGATGTCCAAGCCTAGGACAGCGCTATCTGGGTGAATTTCAGCAGATCCAATTTTAATCAAATCCCATAAATTATGCCAATCACCCCTTAAATACTTTGGTCCGTTGGAGCCTATTTTTCTACTATAAAATGGGGTGTTTGGGTCTGTTTTACACATCACATTACTTCACAACTCCTACTCTTTCATTGCAAATCATTCTTCAATTTTTCATAGCTTTTGAGAGCCATTTTTGTGAAGCCTGTGTTCTGTTCTTGAGCGTTCTTAATTTACTCATTATCCACTCTAAAAGAGAGTATTATTCTTGAGTGTTTTAGTGTTCTTATACACTTGACAAGAGAAGGTATCTCTCTTGTTGTTCGAAGGAAGGGTTGTTTCCTTCGAAGGTTCGTTGAGGTTCGTGTGACTCGAATTCTCAAGTTGTACAGGTTTGTTAAGCACTGTTAAGCTTAACGAGATAGTAGTGTAGCTCGAGAGAGTCTCTCGGGAGGCTGGACTAGCCACAAGGTGTGGTGAACCAGGGTAAAATTGGTGTGCCTCGTTCTTTTCTCTTTACTTCTCGCTTATTCATTTTTATTCCTGCGATTTCTTGATCAAACGCTATTCACCCCCCCTCTAGCGTTGGTCTATTATTCTAACAACCTGTACCTGCATCATCCAAAGCAATAGCTTTCCCCTCCCTTTGACGTCTAACCCGACTCCTACTTCGCCTCCGTCTAGGAGGTTGGGTATTCGTTGGTGCAGTCATGGCAGGTTGGGGAACAACAACAACTGTCCTCTGATCAGGCTGGCTAGGAATCAAAGTATTGCACGAAGTATTATCGTGACCCTGTTTGAAACAAGCCGTGCAGTACTTTGGAATGCGTTCATATTCCACAGGCTGGAACATGCCCACATCCTCCTCGCCAGGTGCATCAGAGAAACCAATCCAAATCTGCTCAATCCTAGGCTTCAACAAATCAATCTCCACCCGGGCTTTAGCCACATTGGGACATGAAAAAGTGGACGTAGCTACGTCCACTTTCAAACACCTCCCAATGGGCTTACAAAGCTGGTGGATGGCACTTTCATTAAATAAATCAGCCCTCAAATTAGGAAACGTCACCCACACCGGCGCAACGGAGGATTCAGTTTTAACGTTAAATTCTGGGGACCACCTGAACAGTCTCATGGGAAATTGTCAGTTAAACTGAATCTGCCCTTGCATGAATATATGATCACAGTCTTGGGGATGGGTGAATAAAAGCATAACATGGCGTGGGTCACGATGACTAATCTGAACAGACCCCCTAAGAATAAATTGTGCAACAAACAACTTCCTCAACGTGGCAATTTCTGGGCGTCCATGAGAAAATTTACCAATCAAGAGAAAATTATCCAGTTGAGAAAGTTGTTGCATTTCCGATTTCTTAAAAACAACAGCAGGTGTACCTCTATGAAAAGTAGGGACTTTATCCTCAACTACCACATTTGATAAAATAGCACAAGGTCGGGAAACATTGGCCCGTAAAGAAATACCTGGCGTTGTAGGACCTGCCACGGCTTGTGCAAAGGAGAGCTTTGGTGCGCTGGGTGGCCCCTCGGGCTTAGTTGTGTGAGGTAGCCCAACTACTACCGAGGTGGTGTGAAGGACAGTAGCGTCTAATGGCAGTGATGAAACCCCATTTTTACCTGTTTTTGAAACATCTATATGGGCCACTCCCTGTTTCTCTTTGGCCTGATCATGAGGAGGTGCAAATGAGACCTCTCTTAAGGTTGCCTTGCGTTGGAGCAGACTAGGATTTTGGGAGGTTTCAGTAACCTTCTCCTTGTGCGTTGGAGCACCTGGGATGGCAGCAGTTTCAGCCATGGATGCAGCCTCTTGAGCTAAGCGTGCCTTGCGTTCATGTGGGAGTTCTAGGGTATGATGTTGGAACAAATGGGGTTGGGTGATTGGGGAATAAGAGACAGGTTTATCATCACCATAAACACTCCCATCCGGCCCAATCAAAGCCATAACAACAGCCCCTTGCACATTATAACGTGAAAATTGTGCAAGGGAAGCAAAGGGGATATGAAATAATGCAAAGGACGAATCAATCAACCCCTTGAGCTCAGCCCCAGCAATATCTTTCCAATTAAAATGAGAAAAGGCAGCCAAAGGGACTTTAACCTGGAGAAAATCAGCAGAACTAGTTGAAGTTGTCACTGGAGCATTTGGTCGAACACTTGGTGCGCATGAAGCAAATGCATGAGAGTTGGACGTAGCACTATTGGCAACGTTTAAAGGCTGTGTGTGAGGGACCAGAGTCATCATTGGAGACGTTGGAACATCTTGAGAGAGCTGTACCACTGGAGAAAACGAATGAGGCAGGTGGGTGGCCATGGCTGTTGTCGTGTGTACACCACCAATAGGGCCTGAGGCACTAGATGCCAGAGGGGCTGCGAATTTGCTCACTATGCTTGTAGGGGCGAAAATTGGGTTCAATGAACTCGTATGAACATGGGGAAGCTCGTGGGTGGTCTACGCGACGCCAAATTGGCCAGGAACCAGAGAAGGAGATGGCAACCCGGCGGGAAGACCTGCCATGGTCGCAACACTGATGCATCCTATTCCAGCACTTGATGAAGCTGCAAATGGATGCAATGGAGTCGTCTGAGGCTGGGGAAGGACCTAGGATGGAAGGGGGCCACCACAAGGACATGTAGACGCTGGAAAAAATGGTGGCAGGGCTGCCACGATCGCAGCAGCACCTGGGGCGTTTCTAGTGGCGGGTTCCGACGTGTGTTAGCTCGATGGGATTGCCGGGACATCAGGAGGGTGATGGGAGGGATCTGGTGGCCGTTGACCGGCCATGTTGGCCGGAAAAAGCAAATCGCCGAAGGGAGGAGCTGATCGCCGTTAAAATAGATCTATAAATCCGAATTTTACTAGTTCTTTCAATCCACGTAGTGTTCATTCTAAGACATCGTCAAAAAACAGATGTCTTACTCATACGATGACAACTTCAAAAACATGTACTCTGAAAGATCAGAAAATAGGTTTTGTCAACCGTACTACACAATTGTTTTAAACTGTAGTCTGTAACAGACAGCTGCTCGGAAGACTACTGAAACCAACACAGTTAGACAACTAAAAGAAACAGTTGTCAGCATCTGTTTTTGACGTAGTGTTATTTCTTTTCTTGCGATCCATTCTTCTGAATCAGATCATTTGCTGGATTTATTGTCCATCACATCCTAATGAACATCAAATACTATCAAACATCTAAAATTATGATATGATAATTTGCAGCGAGAATAATCACATCCTAAGACAAATATTGCATGCAGGTATTTACCTATTGGATACAAATCTATGGTTACCCCTCGCGGAAAGTCCAACCTCAAAATGCTGAGATCAAGACATCAATTAAAAATACAAAAATCAGTGTTCCAACAAAATACATGCAATGATGCACATGCAATTCCAATGCCGAGACCAATAATTAACAACCTACTACTTGAAATAATAAAATGCATAGGCCAGTATCTCTCGTATATCAAAAAATATTGTACCTGATTTGTTGGAACAGAACTTATGAAGAACTCATTGTCCTTGAAGCTGTTAGCTTTTCCTTTAGATCCAAATTCTCTAAAAAATGAAGTGAACTCTTTAATTGAGGAAAATAAAAGATGTTCAAGCATCAAACTCTTAATATGCACTGTATGTTGTTACAGCTTACTTCGATGAAATAGCTAACAGACGGAAGCAAAGGAGTATGATTTAAGACCATTCTCCAGATCTAAGGATTTTTCCTCATATTGAAATATACATTATAATTGGTTGAGTAATGATTTAAGACCATGCTCCAAGACCAGGCTCATATTATTTCTCTCCTTTGCAACACTTTTAACCATATAATTTCAGTTTTCTTAATCTCTGTGCTTAGTTAAATATGTAACCTTTTCGTAGATGGAGGGAGTAGAATATTGTTTTTAATCAAATTAAAGTTCAAATTTGTAGCTAAAGAAGATAAAAGAGTGACCATAACCTGGTTTCTTCATAAATCGGGTAGAAATACAGTCTTCAGTGATATACTAAAATAGAGGCAATATTAAAAAAATAAAAACAACAAAGCAAAATCACCAAAAGGCAGCACTTGAAATCTTGAAGAGATGAAGTAAAAAAGCCAAATGGTATGATCACCCTTAAAAAGAGACTGGAAGAATCCCCCACCCAACCACAAACAAAATCTCAGAAGGAACACACTGATAGACCATTTTAAAAGGTAATGAGATGGGTCGATTACAGAGTGTTGTTTTCAAAACACATTGAGATGGGATGATTATAGAGAGCTATTTGGAGTAGGATAAGGAAATGATCATTGCAGTGCTGTTGGTGAACTTTATTTATGACATCCTCGTGGATAACTCTTTTCATCTTCATCACATCAACCAACTGGCTACCCTGCAATTCGACTTCTCAATTTAATATACTAGAAAACAACATTATCTATTAGTTAGTTCCAGACGAACTGAGGATTTTCTATGCATTTTTTGCTTATGATCGTCTGAAATTCTAAACTTGTTTGTAACATTAACTTTGAGTCATAACACTACAGTAAACTCCTTAGAAAATATATATTTTCTATGATGAATAAAAAACTGTTATTCCATAAAGAGAGAGAGGCCTAAATTAGATTTGTATAAAATAACTAGAACTCATTCATAATTCATCAAGTACTCAGGTAGCACCAAAAAATTACAAAAGTTACTTGATGTTTTGACTTGGCAGCTTGGCCTTCAGCTTCTAGGATGGTTTGCTTCAGTCTAAAACAATCCTATTTAAAAGATTACAAAATGGGCGAGTCGAACGTAAACATCGTTATCTTCTCAATCTAGCTCGCTTACATATGTTTCAAGCATCTTTACCTATCGATTTTTTGGGGGAATGTGTACGTTCGTACTGTTGTCTATCTTATCAATCAGACACCTACACCTGTCCTTGGGGGGAAACTTCGTATGATATTTTGAATTCAAAACCTCCAGATGTTAGTCATCTCTAGAGGTGGAAATCGGATCAATCGGATCAGTTTCTGGTTGGATTTTTCGGTTCGGATATCTTTCTGTTATATGTTATAATTGGTTTGGTTCGGATCAGATCAGTTAAATTTCGGTTCGGATTTGATTCAGTTCGATACATTTTTCGGTTCGGTTCAGTTATAAATTGGTTCTGATAGATTTCGGTTCAGATAAAATTTGAGTCGGGTATATTTCAGTTTCGGGTCTAGTTCGGTTCGGGTATATTTCGGTTTCGGATCTGATATATTTTTGATATATATGATTTGCTAATTGAAATTTAACTATCCATATTTCTTTTTATTTTTTATCACATTTATCTATCATCAATTCAATACGTCATGTTATTTTATATATTTTTCTAATTATATTATCTCTAACCTAAATAATCTTCCTTTTTTGACTTTTTAGTCATATTTTACAAATTTGAACTATAAATTGTGAAAACATATATATATAATTATGATATAAATTTCATATAATTAAATTGATTTTAAAATTTAGTTTTGAAATATCAAACTTTTCTCACAACTACTAATATGCTTATGTTTATGAATGAAAAGATAAGAGATAAATTCAAATAGTGTTATGTTCCATTTGAATATAATTTGGGTGCAAAATTTATAAATTATTGAGTGTATTTGGTTGAAAATAGATTAAATTAAATTTAGTAGAGTCAAATATAATTAATTTTACACTTAAATGTAATGATGTAGATCAAATTTGAAAATGGTAACACTAAATGCTATCGCTAGAGAGGCTTTTCAAAATACTAACACTAGCATCAAATTTTATTGACTAATATTGAGTGAATTGGTTTGAAACTAATCAAATTAACTCTCAAATCAATAAAATTTATTATATAGGATGAAATAAGGATAAAATCTAGTTATTCCATACATATCATCATAGAATCCTTTCGTCTCAAAAAGAATATCACACTTCACTATTTAAAAATTACGGAAATTTTATTTGTTTGTGCGTTATCATTTATATTTATAACTTATCTTTAATTTCTACATATAATAAATTTAAGGCATGAGATTTTGTACTTTTTTCAAGAAGATAATCCATTTTATGAGGGAATGAGCAAGTAATATAATTAGTTCAAATGGTAAAATAAAAGTAAAAATTTAAAAATATAATATGCTTATTGAAAGGAAAACATAGTTCCAAATTTATCGATGTAGGTTCTAATCGATTTCGGATACAATCGGTTTCGAATCTAATCAGTTTTGGGTTTTATCGGTTTCGGGTATTATCGGTTTCGGATCTAATCGATTTCGGGTTTAATCGGTTCGGATATTATCAGTTTCAGATCTAATCGGTTTGGGATTTAAATCGGATATGAATTATTTAGTTCGATTTTGGTTCGATTCAGATCATTTCGGGTTTTCGATTATAGATCGGATCTTCATTTTTCGAGTCATTTCAGTTTCGGTTTCGGATATTTCGGTTCGGGTAATCGGTTCTGGTTCTGTTTTGTCAGGTCTAGTCATCTCCGTGTGTTCGGTGTTTGTGTTACATTCGTCATGTTCAACATCCACCAAATAAAATTGCCCCTCGAAGCAGGAAATGTTTTTTTCTCGGGTCCTATTTATGATCTTGAGTCTCACCGTTTTTTTGCACTCTCGAGATGTTTCCCTTGACAAATCAATTTTTCCGTTTGCTCTATCTCAAAACCATTCCCTACCGCCACAACCCGTTCACCAAAACCATGCCACAACTCCCTTTGTCTACTTCCCCGATCAAAACCATGCCAGTACTACCTATCCAAAAACCCATGCCGACCAGCCTACAGACTCTACCCAGCCCCCAGCTACAGCCGAACAACCCCCATCCATTGCCTCAACGTGTTTGGCGTGCCCCTATTCATTTCTCAGATTATGTGTGTAACATTGTCCATTCTGATGCCTCCATTATTAGTTCACCTGAAAAATCTGTGCGCTCTAGAACTCGGTTTCCTCTCACTAACTTTGTGAATTATGATAAATTGCATGACAACTACCATGGTTTTCTAGCCGCTCCTCCTTCTATAGAGGTTCCCACTTCTTTCCGAGATGCCATTCAACACGCAACATGGCATGCTGCAATGCAACAGGAGATAATGACATTGGAAGCTAATCATACGTGGGATATCACCGACCTTCCTAAAGGTCGTCATGCTTTGGGGTGTCAATGGGTCTATAAGACCAAATTCTGTTCTGATGGTTCTAAGGAGCGTGATAAGGCTAGATTGGTGGTTCTAGGAAATCATCAAGAGATAAGCACTGATTTTACAGATACATTTCCTCCTGTTGCCAAAATGGGTATTCTTTTATCTGTTACTGTTGCTAGAAATTGGGATGTCCACCAACTTGATGTTTATAATGTTTTTCTTCATGGTGAT